ATAAGTTTCGCTGCAAGTTGACTCCTTAGAGTTGTTCTTGCAATTCACCCATTTTTTCCATAGATTCTCACAAATCTAGGCGACTACTAAGTAAATCTATCACCAAACAGAGTAGCTCTAAATCCTACTAACCTAGAAGCTTATACATGAAAAATGAGCACATATGCGGTTGCACAATAGCTAGAACCTTAGAGACTTCGCGTCGCGGAATATAAATACGAGGAAGTCCGGCATTGTAGTGAAGATAACACTCGATGTTGTACTTAATCATAAGCACATTCACTAGTCGTACTACATCAGGTACAGTGAAAAAATCCGCACAAAGGATAAGCACACCGCCAGAACCTCGACTACCATCGCACATAATCCAATGTGCAAAAGCAACAGGAGTCAGCAGGTCAAAGATAGCAGCGGGTACAACTTTGGTACCATCGACAATAAACTGTGCAAAGAGAACGGCAAGAGCTGCGTAAGTACGTGTAGCAAATACAATTCCTTTAAACTGTTTACCGTTAATATTGTGGAAGTTAACAAAGGGTAGTGATTAATCTTAAGTCCGAGTGTTAGACCCCAAGTAAAAGGCGCATCCCAAACTACAAGTGCAGTACATGTAGTAGGAGGAAACCTAAATTTAGGATTAAAGATAGGTTTCCGACGCTTAATCACGTAACAGGTACAATAGCAAAAGTTGTAGATGATAATCTGAGAAGAGGAGAGAAGAGAACTCTGTTAGTAGGTTAGATGGTGAATCGAGTACATTTAGTTGTGTAATCGTAATTGCGCCTGCTAGCACAGGTAAGGATAATAACAAGAGTACGGCAGTCACCAATACTGCCCATGCGAATAGGGGCATACGGTGTAATAATACCCCAGGAGCCCGCATGTTTAATACGGTCGTAATGAAGTTCATAGCACCCAGCATGGATGAGATACCAGCTAGGTGAAGGCTGAAAATAGCTAGGTCCACGGAACCTCCTGAGTGAGACTGGATGCCAGCTAGTGGAGGATATACCGTCCAACCTGTCAAATAAAGAATAAAGCATAGTGTTCAGATCAGTAAACTTGTGAGGGGGTTATAAAGAATTATAGGGTAAAGTGGGTACTAAGATTACCGATATTTGTCTAGATCCGAGCGGCCGGGCATGGAACCATGGCTGGTCCGCCGGCCGGCCTCCAGTCAAATTCAGGAGGTTTAGTATTCATAGAGTTGCCAGCAGCTTAGTTGAGCAGTTCGTCGGAAGTACGGTAACCTTTGGAACCAACTAGGCCGTGGGCAATACGCCAGTCTAAGTAGTCCAAGTGTTTGCTACTCAATAGTGGATAGTTATCCAAGTAGTTGATAAGTAATGAACGTGAAGCTAGAGATTTGTGAGAATCTATGGAAAAAATGGGTGAATTGCAAGAACAACTCTAAGGAGTCAACTTGCAGCGAAACTTAT